TCCCATTTTTTTTCCAGGAACTGTCCTGGTCCAGCAGCTCATGGCTGTTTTGATTGGCCACCATGACGTGCTGTTCCCCAGAGATGAAGACGAGCCGACGGCACTTGAACTCGCTAACAACAACATCGAACCGCTGAAGGGACAAGTCCCCACAACTACCTCGGCTGTCAGCGCCCTGTCTCAGAATACAGAGAACAACAATACGCAGCTGTTGCGGCAGTGTGTTTGGGACACCGAGTCTCAGTCGCACCGCCAGCAAGCAGACAACACCGGCTCGCCGCGATCGGCGAGCCCGCGGACAGTTATCACAGGACGCTTTGAGATGACGCGTAGTCCGCCCATTATGGTGAAAAAGAACCCAGCTTTCAGTAAAGGTAGTGGCATTGTTACTAATGGTTCCTTTAGCTCCTCACCCCCTGCAGATTTTGATAAGACCCAGAACCTGACAGGAGGTGGGAGTTTGCCCATGCGTCGAAGTGGGGCGCTTAAAGGCCCGGGCACAAAAATGGGCACCAGCGGGGTGACAAGTGGAGGCAGTCCTGCTGCGAATGGGACAGGTGGTCTTCGATTGGGAATGTCAGGGTCTGATATGATCTCAGGAGGCCCAACCAGCCGCAATGGTCTTTGGGTACAAAACAGCTGCGTTGCACTTCGGGAGAACAAGACGCGTGACGTCTCCAACAACGGGGATCAAACAACCAATCAGAACCGCCTGTCCACGTACGACAACGTCCAACTGAACCATCAGAACCTGCAGAACCAGATCACCAGCATATGTCTGAACACCAGCTGTGAGGACAAGCAGAGCGTGGACAGCGCCACCTGGTCCACGTCCTCCTGTGAAATCTCCCTCCCTGATAACTCCACCTCCTGCCGCTCCTCCACCACCACCTGCCCAGAGCAGGACTTCTACAACGAACAATACGAAGACCTGGACGGACCAGCTCAGGAGGGAGCGCCTCTGCAGACGGGCGGAGGCAGAGGAGGTGGCGGGAGGAACAGCAGCAGGGAAGATGGAGCAGGAGGGAGCAGTCGCGGCACCAGCAGCAGTGATACCAGTGAAGGTTTCACCACTGGAAATGGACCTGGGAACCACAGTGCTCTGCACAGTCTGGTGGCTAGTCTGAAACAGGAGATGCACAAACAGAAGACAGAGTATGAGGCCAGGATAAAAAGGTGCAGATTCCATTTCTAACACTTTCATTCCATAAGTGCCCTGATTTATAGACATAATTACTTTCTTGAAGAAAAGTAGAATAATGAGTTGTAGATCACTTTCTTTTTCCACAAATTGTTCTGTGCTGAGGTGGTTTGTTGATAAATTGTTTGACTATAATTTCTCCTCATGTTTTTTTTTTTTTTTTTTCTAGCTTGGAGCAGCGCAACCTGGAACTGGAGACGGAGATGGTGGGCCTACACGAGGAGCTGGACCAAGAGAGGAAGAAGTACACCATGGTGGAAATCAAGCTGCGTAACGCTGAACGGGCCAAGGAGGACGCTGAGCGGCGAAACCAGATGCTGCAGAAAGAGATGGAGCAGTTTTTCTCCACGTTCAGCGACCTCACGGCGACTGGCAGCAACTCAGCCACAGAACCCCGTCGACCGGACCGAAATAACGCCATCTGGATACAGTGAATGGCAGACTCTGGTTCGTTTATTCATTTCATGGATTTGAATGCTGATGGGACTTGAGACAGGATGAGGATCCTGACTGAAGGAAATCTGGGCCTGTTTTATATAAAAAATATATATTAAATAAACATATACAGCTAAAAAAGGGATACCTGTGTAAATACAGACATCACCTGGAGTGATGTCAGGCTTACATTATATTTGTACATAGCGTTATTTAAACACCTCATGGACACTTTCTAACCTGCTGCGAAGTGGAATAAAGAAAAGCTTCATCAGTGTATCAGTAAACTGTACATTTTATGTGGGGAATGTAAAATGTGAAAAAAAAAACATGAAAAAAAACAATAATATTCTCAACCGTGGACCTAAAAATAATCAAGTGATACTTCTCACCAATTTTATTAATTTCCAATTAATAAAATTGTCATTCTGTGTGGGCTCATGTACATAGTGGGGAACGATGCAGACGACTGCAGGTAAATGTTTGAAACTGAATCAGTCACTAAAATGTTCATGATATTTGAGCAAAGTCATCATGGTGAAATGTTTTGTATCAGGATTGTTTTTGTCCTTGCACTTCTATGTTTGTCCAGTCTCCACCAGTTGGTACTGAATGTTCTGTGAGTCAATCTGCAAACCATGTTAAACTGGTGAGTATATTGCTTGTACTTCTGTGTAGTTAAATTTATTTACTCATGACCAAAAAGAAAAAAAAAGAACCTTTCTGTAAATATTGTTTAGATGTTGAAGACACTACTTGTTAGTCGGCACTGTGGTTTTGATCGTTGTTTAAATGGCATGGTAGCAGTTCAAATGGAGGTTTTGTAGCTTTAAAATTGCAATTTAAGCCTGGCACAATTGGTCAGTTGCATACAGTGCCAGTTAAAAGTTTACCTACACTCATCGTTGACCAAGCATGGCATATTCATTTTGGGCTTTTAATGATGGATTTGAATTAACGCATCACGGTGGAACGATTATCCAACAAACCTCAGTAAATTTTAAAGATGTTTAAATTTGTCTGTGGAAAACAAGCTTCTGTCCACGTCAATATTGTGCTGATGGACATAAAACGATGCTCCACCTTCAACTTGCTTACAGTGGACAGTATATTTCGAAGCTTTTATGTGTAATGTTGACATAATGTGAAGGAAATTCACAATAAATTAAAAGTTGTAATTTTGCTAGATAACCATTCCACCTTTGTGACAGAACACTGTAAAAATATCATTAGGGCCCACACTTAATATAAGATGTATGCCTGCAGAGAGTGTAAACATCTGACTGGCACTGTCAGAGATTTAGGCAACAAATATTTGTCCAGAATACAGAATTTGAGGAGAAAATATACATTTTCACTTCAAGAGATATGCAGCAAATTCTTGTGGAAAGTCTAATTTAAACTGATTGAATAAAATGCTGATTGTAAAAGATGATTGTATATAAACACCCATCTGATGACTTTTATTCTAACCTATAGCACAAGTGCAAAAGATGCATCTGGATAATTACCAACACAACTGTTTTTAACTGTGAGAAAAAACAAAAATCTTGACTAGCGCAAGAATTTTGTCAGCACCAATGACATTAGAAGCCCGTCTGTTAGATCTACTGGCAGAAGACGAACGCATGAAGGTGCATGAGGTTCACGAGGGTTTGTGTACAATAACTTGATATGCGTCAAGGGACTTTTCTATTCACCAAGTGTGTGTATGTAGCTCCAAACCAAACGTCTACACACGGTGTGGATTTGCTAATGGGTACAAGTCAGGTCGAATGAGTCGTGAACACGCTTAGTGCTTCTCCACCAGAGATTGTTCCCCATTTTAAACCTGCTGCTGGTCATTGCAGGACATGTGGGATGTGTGCACAGAGAAAGAAAGTGCCTGGACAACCAAGTAAAGAGAGATGGCTCTACAATTCTCTCTTCACCCTCTTCACCAGGAAATAATAGGCTTTAGGCCAGCTGACGGTGCCACCTCACTCTGAATTCCACATAAAGAGCAGATATGAGACTAAGGTGGTGGTGGATACTGAAACTCATGCAAGACGTGATACTTGATGTTCAAAAGAACCTTGAAAAGACATGACATTATAAATAAAAATGCATTTCCTGTGAGTCTTGTGTCACTTCTGAGCGTTTTTCATAGAATAAATGTGGACCTTTTGTGTAGCACATAACTAGAAGAGTCAGAGTTGGATGTTACTCAGCTATTATGTTGATTATTAAAAAGATTCACATGCTTTGCAGTATAGCCTATCTTAATGTTTAAAGTTGTCTCAGTCATAAAGACAGGAATAACATTTGAAAAGCGGGGCTGTGTTACAAGGGCAGAAGCTCTAAAATGTAAAAATTAATATCCTGGAAGGGAGGCAGTGCAAACATTATTGTTATTTTGATGTAACTTGGCCAATAAAACAAAAGCAGGACATTAGCTAATTACATAACTATTAATCAAACAACACAGAGAGAATATTTATTACATATAAACTTTATCATGATGGTTGATGACCACCAATACTAAAGAATTATTCTTACGTACTTTTTTAATGACTCAGCTGTCTCGCTGTGATTCTCTCCCAGATGACGTCAACAAAGGCGCCACTGCTGTCATTACCTCTTCATTTTTTAATACGGCATGTATACACAAATCCATAAAGCAGAGTTTTCTACATAAGTATACTGAATTTAATTCACTAAACACTAGTATTGAAAACTATTTAGCATTCTTATTCCAATAATTATGTCCCTGAAGAGTTGCCTGTGCTGAAAAACAGATATAAAACGTGTAATCCTGAAAATTAGGATTAGATTCTTAATGGATTTTTACTCGAGGGATTGAAGCAAATATTAATAAAAGTGTATCTAAAGATTTTACATAGTGAAAATAATATTTTCTCACCATAATCTATTTCCCACAAATCCACCATACCCTTAATATGAATAATTGTCTATTTTATTCCATGGTGATGTGCAAGCTTTTCTTCCCAAACCATATTAAAGTTATTGTCTTGGTGATTATATATACTAACTGAAAACTAATTTCCAATGTAAATATTGGTGCCCCATTATGTTTGCTAATCACTGTTGATGCTGAGGAAGTGAAAATGATTGTATGTCACACTTCTAATAATTCTACAGTATATTGTGGTTTCCAGGAATCCCAGATAGCATAAGAACTTGTCTGCTAACTTCCTAAGCCAACAGATGAAGAATAAGAAATAAAATCCCTTTCTTTTATGTATTTATTCTGCAATGACAGTTTAGGAGTCTTTACTCATTCTGCCAGACAACATGCATGATCCTTGTCTACTTTTCATATGAAAGACTTAAATTAAAGAAGAAGAAAAAAAATCAACAATAGTCCAAGATCAAAGGTTTTCTTTATTTTCAATCACATACATATACTATTTGTACATACACAGTTCCTTTAAAATGTTGTGTTTACAGTAACAGCTTTCAATTTTTTTATTTTTTTTTTTTGTTTTGTTCTGTTTTCATTTGCATTAATTTTGACTTTTACTCGAAACGCTATATTCTGAAGCTTTGAGATCAGCGTGAAACAGATACAGTTTCTTTTTGTCTTTAACCTGACAATGTCAAAAAGAATGACTTGTTTAAAACAGCACGGAGCAAAAGAATCAAGAGCGAAGGAGTCGGAAAAGAACTGAAGAACATCACCTGATTCAGATGAGCTATACAGGGTTTCATTGTTGGAGACACTTTGCCTGACCCTCACAGTAGCTTGCCTCCTTGTTTGAGTACAATAAAAGTGTTTATTGCATTTTTTTATTTTTTTGGAGTGTTATTATTTACAGTTGAGCTTGTGTGAAAGAAAATCAGTAGGTCGGGGATCACTACTACAAGACGTATCCTTACCTGTGACGTGTACTCTTCTTTTTTTCACTATTTGCAATGTTATGGCTAAATGACAGGTCAGTCAACCTCGGATTAAAAGTCTGAGAGACATAGATGTTGTTGGTTCTGAACACACGAGATCACTGAAATATTTCCGCAAAAATCTGGATTATGATTGACAGTAAAGTTTTTGAATCCGTTGGTTAATGTGACTGAACACCAAGAGTCACACAAACAGCTTCCAAAACACACGACCGAGTTCGTGTTTGACATTCTTGAAAGCAACTGCAGTAAAAACCCAGATCAGGTAACAACTTAAAATTATCTCTATTTTTTTTTTTTTTTTTTTTTTTTTTGCTGGTCAAATTTCAGGACAATGACATGCGCGCTTGTGAAACTCTGTTTCTACATCTGGTGTTAGGGGAAAAAAAAAAAAAAAAAGCAGTTTGTGCGGCAAAACCTTTTTCTTCTTCAGGCACATTAACCAGGATCAAAAGCACCTTTAATCACAAGAAAATTGTCCAGAGGGATGTTGAATAAAAAGATTAACAGCTCACATTCAGAAAAGAGGGGGTCAACAGTAAGACGTGTCAATATTTCTACTAAGTGACCAGGAACATGTCAAGATACGGAAACAAATAGAGTGTTTACATGGTTCAAAAATGCCTTGTAGAAAACCTGTAACACTACTGTGTGTATTTGTGGTATAAAGGAGCCAACTCAAGCTGTGGCCCTCCTTTAGGTGGAAAAGAATAATAATAAGAAAAATTATTTGAACATTTTAAAACACAAAACATTTCAAAGTCGCACCCTGTTTTTGAAAGATTGCCCTGACCCAGACCCTGAACAGAAAGCCAAGCAAGTCGTAGCTTATTCTGGAGACGCCAACCTCAGTCGCCCTCTTCTCTGTGGTACCTACTGGCTTCAGGAGTGTTAACAAAGTAGCTGTTCGAAGTCAGGATTTTTGTATGTGCACAGAGCGCAGGAAAACAATTATGTTGTGCTGCTGAGACTGAGGCTATATACAGGCAGACGCCACCTAATCAGCAATTCTCCACACCTTTCTACTGTTATAAGTATGATTTGTGACGATATGTATAGTGGAGACAGCCTGCTGCATTTTTATTTTGACAATTTATTTAACAAACAATGGCTTTAGCCAGGAGTTATCAGTCGCCTTAGTTCATGCTGTGCAGTCCACCCCATTTGCCATTGTTGTGACATTATTTAGTGCCCATTAAATTACTGAATTTAAATAATTTGCCATTTTGCCTCAATATCAAATAAACACAATTTCATCACTGTCACTTTGGATATTTATCATTATTCTTAATATCATAAAGAGCTAAATTTCTGTTCACCAATTTTGTTTGATTTCATAACAGTGCAGGGGCTGGTTGACCTTTGATGACCTCTGTATATCTTTAAAATCACAGCAGCACAAACAAAACATGTTGCTGCATAAACCAGCACAAACACAGCACAACGTTTGACAGCGATTTTTGTCCGATTTGAAGAAGGTGGAGGGGCCGACATCACTCAGGTGATGCAGTGTAATGTAGCAGAGTGAGGCTGAGCAGAGTGAGGCTGAGCAGCGCAGCGGCGCATGCCCTGGAGACGAAGCTGAAAAAAGAGCTAAAAGAGCTCACGATTTGAGAGGCTAAGTAACTAGAGCAATCCTGGGGGGAAAAATGGAGGCTGAACGAGGGCTTCCCACATCCTTTCACCAAACTGTGGTTTAGGGACTTTTTTTTCTTCTTTTTTTTTGGTGCAGCTGGAGTCCTTTAGCCTACTCCAAATTAAACTAGCCATATTCAGATTCCTCCCACTGGTGTAAATAAATAGATGAGCCATCCAGCCAGGAGTTATGGCAGTTGAATCCTATCCTGCTGCCTCTTTAAAGTATTATTGTGTGCGGTAACAATAAGAGCGTGTTTATTTGTCAGGTGAAGTCGCAGCTTCAAAGTTAACACTCCTTGTTTGCCCATAAACCTCTGCACTGTTTCACCAGCGTCTCATTGAATGGTTTTTAAGGAGTCAAATAATTGGAAGAAGCCGCTTTTGTGGTGGAACCACAGTGAAATATTTCCACTTCCTTCAACCGCGACGGTTTATACAGTGACGTGCAACGTCGTGGGTCAGCACATGGGATGATGGCGGCGGTGGGGCCGCTTATACGCCACCAGGGGAAACGGCATGGAGATTATTCACCACTGCAAATTATTTCTGAAAACATCGACCGTTTCGATCCTGATTTTTCCATCTTTTCAGCTCGCCCGTGTTTCACAGACACACCCCCTGTCCTACTGAGACCAGACCCCGCCTTCTAATGTCCGTGATGAAGTTAGTTTACATAGCACATAAATATAAGACTCTGTACAGACTGTTTATGTTCTCTCTCCAGCATACAGTGTGATTTGCGCAGTTTTAGTCTAATCATGCACAACTACGGCAATAAGAAGAGGGGCAACCGAGGTGGAGAGAAGTAATGTGGCAAGGTGAGCGCTAGTCAGACAAAACAATAAAAACAAACAAACAAAACCTTCCAGTGTACTGGCCTTCAGTCCCATGTCTGTCTGCCCTTCAGCTGTACAGAATTACAATATTTACAAGTAGCTGCGGGGTGAGAGCGACTGCACATTCCCTGAAGATATACAAGACCCAGTGAACAGTACAGGCAAAGTTACATTTCAAAGTTCATGTTGGGTGGGAGTGACTCAGGAAATGAGCTGAGGTTCAGAGTTGAATGCAGAAAAAAGGGAAATTTCTTTTGTAATCAAAAGACATTGGCAGCCCACCTTGCCACAACGATTAGCCACAGATGCTTGCGGAAGTAATTTGGGGGAACCAGCAGCCGGCCAAAATGCATTTTACAGGAGGCGCGGGTTGTTTTTTTTTTTGTTTGGATGCCATATACAAGACGTGTGCATGTCTGCATGTGTGTGTATGTGTGTGTGTATGAGTTTCGGGGGTGAGGGGTCATAAGCAAAGCAACTAGAGGATCAGTAGCATATATCTCAGCTCATTATCTTCAGTCTAATGCCACTGCTGCTTTTTGAATGATAATGCACAAGCTTTGGGTTTCATCATGTCAGACTGTGTTTCAGTAGCTTATGTTTTTGTTCAGAATATATTCCTTTTGATCTTTTTTTTTTGTTGCTTTTTTTTCCTTTATTTTTTTAAACATCGTTTCAATTTTGTCGCTCAAATCTCTTGGGTTCTTCACCTTCGGAAGAACATGGGGTTGCGCAGGCAGGCGGATAGTCACCTGCAGCACCCCAGGGGTCCCGCGGAGGTCTCCAGGCTGCTGTCAGTGTCTGAAGCCAGGGTCTGGTCGGTGGACATGGAGGAGATGTCGTTGATAGAGGAGGAGGGAGGGAGGCTCTCGCTGCTGTTCACGGCTGCACCTGTGCTACGGGAATCAACAGCAGCAGGAGGGTTAAAACGTAAAAAAGTTCTGATGGGAGCAGATTAATAAAAAATGTATATATATATCGCAAGCACGGACAGCACAAGGGGGGATGGATGCTGAGTAAAGTTGAGTTGCATTGCTGGGACAGAGATAAGGACATTTCCAACATCCGCTAAGAGTCACAACTGCAGCTCTGATCAGATGTTCCCAAGCAGCCTTTGGAGGCATGAATGTCAAGTTTGTTTACTGATGCATTTGAACTGTTTTTATGCCAGAATAAACAGCTAATACAGAAAAACAGCAAGAGTGATTTTTAACAACAAGAATGAGGTTTAAATTTATTGTGGCGCAAAGTCAAAGTTCCACATTTAAGTTCAAATATGAACTATAAACAGACACGCCATTAATATTTCATTAGCTCTACCTTAGCATGTTTTTCATCAAACTAAAAAAATGTTTTGTGTTTCGTTTCGGGTTTAGCCCAGGCTTTGCCAAAGCTTATTGTAGCCTGGTTCATCCGTTCTGAACAATGCTTTGATATGCTTCTATGCTCACTGCATAAAATAACCAAAGATTTGTTTCATAATCTTTAGTTATTCTGATATCTCAGCAGACTGATGACTGCTGATCAAAATAGGTTCTGAAATGTTCAAAACCGAGATATCTACAATGGCCACAGGCTAGCCCTACAAAATGCTACATATATGTAAGTATATACTACTCTTAACACTCGACAATGGCAAATTGTCTGATGAGAGTGCAGGTAAAATAATCAACCGGCACAAAGCAAAAAGGTTATTCGTTACTCCCAGAGTGTGTGGGTTCTCTGCAACTCTTGAAGAGGCTTCTCATCCTCCATGGATTTTGAGAAAATCCACATTATATTAAAAATGCTTCACCCAATTCTTGTTTTTAAGGCTTACTGGAGATGTATGCTTTAGCATTATTGCAGCCTGATAAAAACAGAATAGTTCAAACCCCCGAGTTATTCTGACATTCATGTCTATAAAGATTGTGTCCAAGCATCTGACCAGAAGTGTACAGTGAGTGTGATGAGACGAGAGTGATTAAGATTTGGGTTGTGTGGGTTCTAAATGAAAGACCATTAAAGGCTCCCCGCATTATTTAGGTGGCAGCTGTTGTAATCATTCACATGATATCAATAAGCTCTTTGATAGTTCTCCCTACAATCCTTGATTTATGTCATCATTAAACACGCTGCTGCGCTGGCACTATTTATGTCAGTTCATTTGGAAGTCATTAAAACAGTTTTGCAATTTTCTTTTATTGATCATTGCTTGACGTTAGAATTCATCCGCAGCAAACTTTCGGAGACATCATCAGAGGACTCTCACTCTTACCTGCTATTCCGTCGTTTCATCATTACCACAGATTAAGTGATACAATTAAGGCGATCACAGAGTGCTCCATTTTCAGTTCATGTCACAGCACTTGCAGTTCTGATGGTAATGACGCGATGGGTGAGACAAATCGATTTATTTATCTGATAATATGGAACCGGTGAACTTTTCTTTCAGACACAACACCAAACTGTGAGCTTTAGGAGGCTGTTTTCCACATATATATAACATGTTTTACAACATGCTGAATGCAGCATTTCAGGGACACAGTTTGAACTATTTCTTTATAGTGTTTCTTTCTATGCCACTGATGGAACAACATTTTCTCATCTGTTTGCTGTAGTTGACAATTAATACATATATATAGTAGATTTAAAACATACAAGTGGAAAGTGATCTGAGTGTAATTCTGATTTGTGTCATGTTAGCAAATAAAAAATAATAATTACATAAATTTAAAACGGTATTAAGGATATTGTGTTTTCAACTTCTGACTGGGGCATCATGTGCTCTCTGCTCCTCCACCTCCCTGCTGCAGTGAAATAGTGCTGTCTGCAGCTCCTGCACTGCGTCTGATACGCTCAGCATCAGACACTACAGAGCGGCCGATCTGCTTAATTGCAACAAGCTGCAAACACAGAAAAGGGTGGATATCGTGTGCGAGTTGGGAATAAAGAAAGTAAGATACATAGAGCAAAAAGAATTGCAAAATGCTATCTCTCTTCTTGCAACGAAAGAATTAAAGATAATAAAGTTTAGGTGCTGTTTAAATGACTAAATGCAAATGATGGACAAACTTTACACATTTTTATAGCCTGAGGAAATGTATTGTACTTTAAATGCACCTTTTTTTTAGTTAGTCTATCTTATCAGCATGCTACTGTTACCATGATAAAGCTGTTTCTTTGACTGAATTTCCATAGGAGTGTGACTGGATTATTAGTGCATAAACACGACTCTTTACTGCCACTCTGTGGTAGAAAATGCAGCCAGCACTTGCTCTCATTTCATGAACAACTCGAGAGGCTTAAAATGTCAGCTGAAAACTGACATTTGCAAAGAAAACCACACAGCCCAAACCTTAAATCGTGAAACATTTATATGCACAAATACAAACATTCACACATTTTTTAATGAGATATTCTCTGCACTACAAGGTACATTTAACACTAGCAGATTTTGTTCTCAAAGTCTGTTAATCAAATAAAAAAAAGTAAAAAAAAAAACACCCACTATAATTAAACAACACTTAATTCGAGATGCAAGAGACATAGACACATGGTCAACAGCACAATGGGAATCTCAATTTACAAGGGAAAACTCCATTAAGGTTATAGTAAATTCACTTACAGAGCGATTAGGCTTATGCACTGAGAGTACCTGAAGGTGAAGGCTGTCCCTTCACAACGCCATTCTTCGTTCTTTCCTCAAAGTTCATCACCTCTTTGTAGATTAATTCTGGCAAAAAGAGAAGAGTCAGTAACATGCAAACAGTGGCGAAACTTCACTTTTCATCATCCGACAGAGACATCATCAGGTGATGTCTCTGTCTCAACGGCAGAGACATCATCTGTCTCTGCCGTTGTCTCTGACGCGGCAGAGACAACGGTGGTTTGTGTACTTTGAAGCTGCAAAAACAACATTTCCCGATGCAATGTCAAACCCTACATTTCATAATTAATACATAAATTAACTAGACTCATGCATTGTTGACATTTAGCTTGAAGTGTTGGTTAAAACAGGCTCTTCTTACCTTTCCACTCATCTATGGAGTGTTCTCGTTCATCCAGCTGCTTGTCATAAATCTGAGGTGGAGGCTAAAGTGAAAAGCAGGGAGCACAGGAAGATCTTTAGATGAACACATATGTGTCACATATTAAAAGCAAAACTGGGTAGAGCTTGATCAAACACAAATGGATTGGACAGAGTTTCAACTGCACGCACACGCACACACGCCGCCTACTCACCGCCTCCACCTCAGCTGGATCGTACCACACGTTGATGTAGGGGTGCTGTAAGGCCTCGTCCACTGATATCCGCTTAGCAGGGTCGATGATGAGCATCTTAGACAGCAGGTCTCTGGCCTGGCTTGCTGAAGTCGAAAGAGAAAACACAAAAGCACCCAGCTGATTTCACACAGACAAGAAAGTATCGCTCTGCATCACATATGTGAAAGCAAAGATTGAGATAAAACAAATCCAGAGGGGGAAAAAAAGAGCTATAATTAAAAACAGAAGGTTATTAGATGTCATTTTCATCTTCCAGAAACCCATCATGGCTGGATGGTAATGATAAACTCTCAGTCTTCAGACAAATTACTTTAAATTAAGATTAAAATTAGACATGAAACAGTTATCCAAACACTGCGCGCACCAACAAATTTAATACAATGAAGAGGAAAGAAAAATGAACATGACATTTAAAGAACTGGACAGTAATGCAAGCCTAAGATTATAGTGAATTATAGTTCTTAATTATGTGCAATGTTAAATATCAGTATGCAACAGCTAAACATAGATTAGTGTAATTTGTTCATTTTAGATCTGTCCTCAGATATTTGTCATTTAGATTATTCACTCTTCTTTTTATAATTTAAGGTGGTCCCAGTGCTTCTACGGTGATAATTCTCAGGAAATACTTATGAAACTGAAATCAGGCAAGTAAAAGGAGGTTGAAGTAGAGCAAATGTAAAAGCTACCTTCCATCATAAATGTATTAAGATCCATAAATATAGAGAATTTCTCAGTTCCTTTTTGATAAAATCACTTCCTTTTAAATGTACTAAATGTGCAAAAGCATTTCGCAGACATTTGTCCTAAAAGCTCGCAGGATGGAATATTTTTTAGGCTTTCAGCTAAAACGCTGAAGAAATAAGCTGCAAAATAAATAAGGACATATCCATGTTACTCCTCCTGTTCCTCTGATTTGTTCTCTTTTTACTGCACAAATAAATTTATTCTTTCCAGTATGGATATATTCTTTCAACGCACTCGAGGGGGAAATTTTCCTCCTCTTGAGAAAGTCACTTTTAACAGCTCCACAGCAGCTATGGAGAAAAAAGAGACTGCAGTTTGAAAACAGAAACGGAAAAATGGAGAATGGATTCTTCTGTTATCAGTAACAAAAACAGAGCAAATCTATGGAGCAACTCCTATATGGATTCCTTTTATACATCATCCTCTCACACGTTGCTGTCTGTCAGTCTGAAACAAATCCGAGAGCCAAAGCACAGCGAGTGTTTCCCTCCTTTCTTCAACCTGCTTTCACACATTCCCACTGTGCCTCTCTGGGTGATTTCCCTTTAACTTCCTCACCTCAGCAGCCCACAACCCGCATACAAAACTGGTTCATGACAATTTAACAACTCTGGAGCTTTGATCTGGGACCACACAAACAGAAAAGTGTGTCGTCTCTTGTAAAATGGATGTTCTGTTTCCTGCTTTCTCAGCTGGGAGAGCAAAAGAAGATGCACAGGGTTGATCATATCCAGAAGCAGAGTCAAGTGGGAGCCCTGATTGGGATTTCAGTACTCAGCTCTGAATTTTAACAAGGAAGCTAAAAGGCAGAAACTGACGAGCAGGGTTGGAAAATTCGGGGGTTGCTTTTGATTTTCATGGGGAATTGGGACTTTTTTTGGTTAATAGGATTTTGCATAAGGCTGACATTACATAGTCATAAACATGACATAGCAACATGAAGAAGTCTTCATGAATGTTTATGACTGTTGTCATGAAGTGTCTTTTGGTAAATAATCAAAATAAGCATTACAAGTTGCATTAAAAGTGCATTAAAAGTGTCAACTTAGCAATATTTGGCAAATAATTGCATTTTTATGCAAAGTTGCATTGAAACTAACATTGAAAGTCAATTAAAAGAGTCATCTTTGCATTAAAAGTGTCATTATTTACCGAATGACACTTTATGAAAACAGTTGTAAACATTCATAAAGATTCACTCATGTTTATGATAGTGCTATGTCAGTCTTATGCACACCCCTTCAAATAAAGTGTCACCAGCTTTTTTAATTTGAACTATTTACAAAGTTCACAAAAGTGTATTTGGAGATTTAAAGGCTTCTCTGTAATTCATTTATTTCTCATACAAAAAGTTTGGATGTTGTGTGGAAGCATTCTGAAATACTTTAAACATATTTAAAGTCCAGAGAACAGACTTTAAATACTTTTATTAGTTTATGAATCACTGAACAGCATAGTACCAAAATGAAAGATCGGTTGTTGGAGAATGAAGAATCATCATTCAGTTTTTATGCTCCACTAATCTGGGACAAACTTATAGAAAACTGAAAAACAGGCAAAACCCAGAGTTTCTTCAAAAACAAAGCTAAAAAACCCACAACTGTGTCGAAGTGCCTTTGATGAATAAGAACTGGAACGTGAATCAATATATTTAATGAATATTTGCTTTATAGTCTTGATGATAGCATGTTTACTGCTTGCTTCATAGTTGGCTGCTGTGTTATGTTTTTATGGTGTAACACTGTGAACTGCCTTGTTGCTGAAATGTGAAATACAAATAAGCTTGACTACAAAAATATTTATGGTAAAATCTGCATTTTTTTTAAATTATTATTACTCAGGTGCTTTACTGCTCCAGTTAACCATAATGGCAGGAATAAATAAAGAGCTGACAAAAATATATTGTCTGAGTTAATTATATTCTTTGACCCCACATAATAATTCATCCAAATGGTCAAGTCATAATAAAAGCATTTCGCTAACAGGCACCTTTGGAGCATCCCGCCAATATAAAACCTTGGCTCTCACCTTTGAGTTTGTTGTGCTCAGAGTCAGCAGGGAAAAGGCAGTCGGGGAAGAGCTTGGGGAAGGTGAGGCCCGCGTACTTTGGCCGGTTCTCCACGTAGTTCCTCACCGTGGGCTGCAGCTTCTTCATGAACTCTGGAGAGGGCGTGCCCAGCTGCTCTATCACCTTGTTCCACTGGTCAATGTCTGGCGTGGCAGGTCAAGGTTAAAGGAAACATACCTGGAATATGTAGCATCGTATCATCTCATCTGTGAGAATGTTTGGGTGATATTTTGTTATGATATTCCTGAAAAGGCAGTTTAAAGAAAAAAAAAAAAGGAAATTCAGTTGCTTATTGTTTTCTAAAGACACAAATCTAGTGAAGATTATGATGAGATCATAAGTTGTGGATCATAAGCGGTATCCTTACTGTTTCTTTTTTCCCAACAAATATGCTGAGTCATTCTGCCAGCCACTGCTTTATTTAGCTGGGAGTCCTCATAGTAATACCTCTTCACTGTCACCATTACACGTTGAGCCAGTAAAGTCCCATTTTCCATCTCTCACAGCTTTAGTCCATATTCCTCCTCGCTACAGTTTCAGATTTAGCCAAACAGACTGAGGTGGGTTTTTTTTTTCCTCAAATTGTCAAAAATCCTTCCAGGCTTCCATATGAATCAGAGAGAGGAGGTATGCAGAAGGTGGAAGGATACGGTCAGACCCAGGGAACAGAACTGTCCCTCTTATCACCTCTCCAAAGATGCAGCCCACTGACCACATGTCCACTGGTGTCACACACACACAAAATCATGTAAGCTGTTATGTTCCAAGATATTTTTGCTGCTTCCAGTAACTACGAAATTTCTCTTGGATTTTGATCATCTTTATACTTTTAGAGAGAAAAAAAAGATAATATCAGCAGCAATGTGAGCGATTATTGGTGGGATCGGTCCGATGAGGGTGCTTGTACATGTTCATTGACCTTTTCGGGCATCTTTAAACTCAGCCTACTCCCCCTTAGAGAAATACATTTTAAAAAATCTAAACAGAGAGCAGAGAACAACACAATCAAAAAATTTAATTAATGATTATCTGATGTCTGTTTATTAACACAAGTGCATCAAACTTGATATACTTCTGCAATTAAACTGTCTACCTTAAATAATAACCTTCCGATTCTCTTTGACATTGCTGCTACAATCGTCTATCATTAAACAACCACTAACCTTGTGGCCTTGTGTCAGTGGACAGAGTGCTGCACTCCATCATCATTTGTTGGACAAAGCACAGGGTTGACTCAGACCTCATTAAGGTCAGTATGCTTACGGCCAATAGCATTAAATATGAGGTACCAATCCACCACTGCCAAACGAGCTGAAAATTAACCAAATTTTATCTGAGAGCACATCGATTTGCAGTGAAAAGAAAACTGATGATGGGGGCAGATACAAATGACAACAGTCTCAGCAACAGCCGAGACAGAAGGGATGAGAAGTTGCTGAGCTCATTGCAGGGTTTTCTCACTGTTCAGCTCATTAATCTTCCAGGAGCTGCATATACAAGGCTGCAGAGTGAGGAATCCCCCCAACACCTGGTCTCTGATCACTCCCTATGGCCATTTAGCTACATTAAGTCACCATCTTAAATAGTAAATGTGGTCATTTTTTTCATGTTGTCAAAATGTGGCACAAAGATGCAAAATAACAACTATTCCTGAAGCATTTCGACATGCTTAATGTTTCCACTCACATGTGAAGTCCTGTGGAGGCGTCTGGGTTGATTTGTTTTACAAACAATCATAATGCTGCAAACACTGCAGCACAACCAGTCACAATGGTTACTCAAAAACATCCTAACATTGTGTATGCTGCAACTGTATATGGCACATATTGTTAATGATTTTCTTCTTTAAGCCATAATAAATCTAAAAGTTGTCTAACTTATTAGGAGCAAATGTTTTGAGTGAAGGCAAAGAAAAAATTATTTGTCCAGGGCTTCAACAACCTCATGAGCCATTTGTCACAAATGATATTTGAAGCACAAAGATATTTAAATGCCATCTGCAGATGTCAAACTCTTGTTCTGACAGCATGCTACATGTGGAAATAACCCAACTTCAGAGCAGTTGTTTTGTCACATTGAGTAGCCATTATAAAATGTAGGGTTGTCTTTTTTGCTGTAGATACTTTTGAACTTTCAATATCTTGTCTTCGTAGTGTATTTAATAGAAGATAGGATTTGCAAACTATGGTATTCAGTTGTTACTCATGTTTTACACAGCATCCCAACTTCATTGGAATTGGGGTTGGAGAAATGCTGGAGTTATTCAAATGCATGAATCTTCTGAGAATACATAATAAAATATTCATGTTGTAATGTCATGCAATTTAAACTATGCAATGACTAACAGATGCTCAAACTGAGTAAGCAAATGCTGTGTAGGCTCTCATAGATGACATAAAAAAAACATAACATTAGGACTATTTAGCCAAAATACCGACATTCATTCTCACTGCAAGAACACACTCTGAGTTGAACTCTAAAACACACAGCGCACATTTTAAACATTCAGAGACAAGCAGAGAAATATGTATTTGCCAGGAGAGGTTTGCATTAAAAGTCAACACATCTGAAGAGGAAGCACTACTGAAAGAAATGTTGGAACTACAAAGAATAAACATGTTATAAAATGTTGGCCAAATATTAGTGGTTTTAGTGCACCTCTGTGGCATACAGCAAAAATCAGGTCTACTACTCCAGCAAAGAATTATGAAAATAATATTCAAAATGAAGCCTTATTTGCACTAAATGTTTTACATTAAGCCTAATCCAGGTTTTCACTCCTAACAGCAACGTAACTGAATAAATTTTAGTCAGAATTGAGATGCTTCACTCTGCAAAACCTGCATAATGAAGATGCAGGATTTTCATTCTTTTTGACAAGCAGAACTCAAAGAGTGTGGCAGCCATTGTAAGTCAAGAACAGGGCAGTGCAAAAACTCAATTATAATTGACCATTTTCATGTAATCACCAACAGTAATTATGACTGTATTTTGTTTTTGTTTTTTTGCAGTATTATTTTAATATATTTGTCTTTAATGAAGTATTTAAAATGTGCCGTACTCTGAAAGAAATCCCTGCATTTCTGTTGGTTATTTTCAGCCTTTTCATATTGTTAGTTTTGATTAAACAACACCAAAATAACAATAATTCTTCAACTTCTTCTCCAAACTGGACAGGATTATTACAAAACCAAATCAAGAAGGTATCAGGGAAAATGTGTTGCAGTTCACCGTTTTTCCAGTGCAATACTGCAGATGCTTTTTTCAAGGCGCTGTGTCTATTTCAGCTGTGATATTTACTTTTTAAAGTAGTCTAGACTAAGCATTTTGAAATTAGGTGAGTTCATTTTGAAACTTAATTTGTGTCATTTTCAAAGCTACCTTTAAAAAAAAAGAAATAAATAAAATATTAGTAAGGATACAGTCCCGGCCAGGGAAAAGGATTTTGTGGCGCACCATTTCTCCCATGATGCATCCCACCGACCAAATATCCACTGTACGCAAAGAGGTGAAGGTGGCACACAGAGGGAGCAAAGGGATAGAGGAGGGAAAACAAAGGTTAAAGTAGTCTACAGTGATTAGCAGATTATTCAGTAGGTGAGAGACATGTTACGACTTAACATGCACAAAATAAAGAGCTGAAGGATTAAGAGTGAAAACGAAAGCAGAGCATCAGAAGGACTGATTATCTACAGGAAACTCAAAGCCCACAGGCTGTCATTCTAAGTTAGAAGTGTGACTAATGAATCATAGCAAGGCTGGCATTCAGTCATGTGTCTTCATGTTCTGAGGGCTTTTAATCAATGACTCACTGCGCCAGCACTTTCAGCTCTAGTGCAATTCAACCAGAATCACGTCTAAGCTCTGTCACAGAACAAACAGTGCTGAGATGCTCTCTGATCAGCTGCAGGAGCTGGACTCTCTAAACTTTCATTCAGAGCTGTCTGACAGAGATCTGTGACTCTACAAACACACCCTGTTATTGGCAAAGCTCACCATTTTCTTTGTATCCCATTCCCAGTATGACCTCTGGGGCTCTGTAGTATCGCGTCACCACATATGGGGTCATCATGAAACTAGTGCCTGCGGTTCTAGCCAGACCGAAGTCCAGGATCTTCAGGGTGCAATCAGACTTTACCACTATATTGCTTGGTTTGAGATCCTAGAGAGGAAAAAATAAATAAATATGTGCAATCTTTAAATTACTGAACATTATATTTCCTTTTGAGGAGGAGCTGTTAAAGTTAAACTTTTCTTTTTCAAACTAGTTGAATATTTTTTGTGTTAATTGGTGTTATTGTGTTAATTGGTACTTCCTGATTTGTGAAATGATAAAAAGATATGTACGACTTCCTACCTAAAAATTCTAAAACATAAATGTTCAACTTAGCAAATAAATAAAAATAAATCTCTCATTTGCTGTCAAAATATTGATAATCTTTATCAAGTGTATCTTTATGTAACAGATTTTATTTTACCAAAACAAGATTTCCTCAAAGATCAAAGTTCATCTACATTTTATAGTTAAATCTTATTTTTATTTTTAAACCTTACACTTAATCTAAACCAAATTTTGTAAATTTGTTCCAGTTGGGCTGTCAGAGAAATGCTTCACTGAGATGAAGCAGCGAAAACAAGAAACACTGGATCCTATTTGACATTTCACACAACTTGGCTTATTTGTAGAGTCTGCTCTGCTTTGAAAAGTAAATAGACTCTCATATTACAAACAATATGATCGCTGCCAAGATATTATGCAAGCAAACTGCAGGCTTTACTACTTTCTCTTTACTACTAGCTAATTTAACAAGTATAGGTGGAAAAAAATGCTCACTGTCTTCTCTTACCCTGTGAATAATGCCGGCTGAGTGCAGATGTTTGATGCCACATAACATCTGGTAGAGCAGATAGGACATTCTCTCATGGTCAAGCTCCATCTGAATCACCTGGCACAAGTTGGCATCCATAAGCTCCATCACAAGGTACCTGGGAAAATGCCATTACCATTCAGTGAGAGATGACTTGTTTGACATTTGACCGGTTAGCTGTACGCACAAGTCATGCATTTTAAATGTTTCTGTATGAACTACAACAAAAAAAATCTGTTGTCAGATGAGACGTATAAATCCCCGAGTATCAAAACAAAGATTAATAAAAAAAAAACAGAGGGAAACTCACACATCTTGAAATTCCTCTAATGATTTCTGTGGCGTGAAGACATTTAATAAACTGATTATCTGAAAGAGAGAAAATGCAGTCAGAGTGTTATTATACAGGTAATCAAACAGGAAAAATAAACTAATTGATTGAAAGTGACTGTGAGAAGATAATGACTGCTGAGAAGGACACTGGTGAGAGAGGACAAAACAGACTGAAGAGGTGGCATGGAGGCAAGAGAAGGGGATAAAGGCTGGTGACAGGAAACAAAGAGAGGGAGACAAAGTGTAGCAGTGGGGATTACAGTCATCCCTCCAAGTGCTCTTGGTTTCACTCTCTCTCACCAGTTTGCTGCACTCCTGCAGGCGCAGAGTTTAGCATGGTCACAACATTGCACCGGGGCTAGTGTGCACTTTGTAGCAGAGTGATTTGGCTAGAAATAGAATCTTACTGACAGCAGATGTGTTTTTGTTTTATACTTTCCTTGTCCCAATGCATAAAAAAAACAATAACTCACATTTTTGTGATTGACACATTTCATGAGCACCAACTCCCGGTATGCCCTCTTGGCGTGGGTCTGGTTCTGGAAGGGTCTGCTCAGTTTCTTTATGGCTACATTCCTGTCCAGGACAGCATCATAGCCCGCACTGCAGAGACAGAGAGAGAGGACAGAGAGGGGGGGGGGGGGAAACAGATAATCATCAGCATTCTTTCAGCATTCATAGCTGGATGGTTATCTGGGTGTATGTGGTTGCACCGTAATTGCAATTTGTAGCACAAGAGCAAATAGATGATTTTCTGCATGATGAGGTTATCAGTGTAAAGAACACCTACAGACAGTTTCTTTCAAACATATTTACAGCTGACCCAGATATTTACATACAGTGTACAAAAATACAGAACCATTTAAATGGTTCACAGAGAAATCCGTTTGGCAAAATAAAATGTATCCATTTGTTTTCCAGTAGTCAGAAACATGAGTCATAAATTGTTTCTTTCCTAGCACAGTGCAACCCTGACTCCGGAGACCTTTTATATTGGAGCTCCTTGCAGTCCTTTCTGTTGACTCTCAGAGAACAGGTGTCGAGAAAAATAAAGCAGAAAATCCCATTTAACATTCTGAATCTTTCCATATCGCCCTTTAATGCTGTAGAGGGACTACCAGTGTATTTTTATGTTGTCGTGGAGAAGATGCTGAGTGCAATGTGCTGTGGTTCTAAGTGTCTCTGTGGAGAATGCATATGATGGATTTATGAAAGCTTTTATCCAAGAAGGATTTTAACAAGTCATCACTATTCTAGAGTGAAAGGTGATGTCATGAATAGCTAAACTACTTCAAACCTTGATCCAGCTTTAGGATTCCCATATGAAAGCATGACAGCTCTGTCTGTCTAAATAAGCATCATTGCCAGGAAGTCTGATCCTAATATTAAAATTTTGTGCAAAGTATTGCATATGTTTGTAACATTGTCAGCGCCACCACAGAGGCCTTAATTTCTGTGGCTAATTTTATAAGAAAACAACAACAAAAAACTATATCCTTTTTTTCTTGGTCATATACATTATTTTGTTTATCTTGCTGAACAGTTTTTAACCTGCTCACAATAAAAAATATAATGCATTAACTGATTGGCTTATTCATGTCATGTAACTGTGACCACACTACTTTACTAGAACATGCACTGGCAACAACAGTGGCAAAATAAATTTTAACAGAAAGCAAGTTTCTCCTTACTTGCATGTTCTCTGGCTAAACTAGAATAAATTGCCTGATTGCATAAGCAAAGCAGAACGTGTCCTTGCTGACTTAGACATAATCTTTTAAATCTATCTACTTGTGTGCATGTTGCTTATTTGAGGGTAGCTGTTAGAACTGAGTCACACAGATGTTTATGTAAATGTGATTATGTCACCCATCTGAGGTTCGCACTGAAGATAACCAACAATCTTTCTGTTTTTGTTTCATCACCATGTTGAGAGCAAAACGTTATTTCAACTTATACACGAACACAGCTTATACAAAAACACATTTTTTATAATATGCATTAATGCATCTGTAAACATCTGAAAAAGATAAGTTTCATGCTTGATGTCTCAAATAAGTCTTTTTTTTTTGTCTGCTGTTACCAGACAAAACAGCTGGTGGCATCTGGTGGACTTTGTCCACCAGATGCCATCTACGGGCAAAGACAAGAAATATCCAGCTGGGAAGATATAATTGGATGTGCTCTCTACAACTGATCTCTAAACCTGCAAACCTCCTCCAAGCCTGCCACAAGCCAACCTGCAGCCACAACGAATTGGTTTTGCTACCTTTTGGACCGAAGTAACAAAAGGCAGAGATTATAAGAGGGCACATGGAGGGCAAAGGTGTTGCGATACATCCTAACCCGAAACACGTCCACTTGGATCATCCATGTGGAAGGATTCTGAGAGGTTGTATATTAGCACAATGACACAGCATTAGCATGAGCGTGAGTTATGAATGTGTTTGGTGGATCGACAGAGACGGTAAGAGGCATTTCTTTAAGTGGAGCTTTGGCAGACGTTCCATTGCATTCTGACAGGGAAGGCGTGAGGTGAATTACAATGAAAGCTGGCTCCCTCTGCAATACGGATTAAGGATTCATAAGAAGACTGTGGTGGTAGACCCTTAAAATCCATTATTATACAATGCAAATATCAACTCACACCTGAGGAAAAAAAAAATATCACAAATACTGACCTTGATCCCTCTAAGGAATGTTTTCTGTTTGTTTTCAGATATATATTTGCTATATTGTCAGAAATAATCTTACTGAACTTACTAAAGAAGTGACTGAAGCAACCCACTTTAAAAACATTTAGCAGCGTTTTTATTACTTGAAATAGGAATTCATAAACACTTGGTGCTGTCACGCTAAAAGGTTTCATAGCAGAAGTTTTTGCTCAGAGCTTGTTTGTCTTATTCTTAAAAGCACAAAATGAATCAGAGAGCATTGAATATTCAGTTGAATCAGCTACATAAGATATTGAAAATAATTCTGAATGCTTGCTAAAAACAAAAGTTTATCTGAATTACTAAGAAATGTCTTAAAAAGTATGCTTTTATGCCATTTCTAGATCAAAACGCAGAAAGTAGAGTTTCTCTTTGGCTATTCAAAGCAATAAACCACAGGACAAGGATACCAACAGTAAAACTGAGACAACCCCAACATTAAATATAACAAAGAGCCTCGTCAAAAAGCTTGACGCTATTTAAGCCAGGGCATAAAAAACAAAAGGCACGGCTGTGAACTTACCAGACAATTCCCTGTGCTCCAGAACCAATGGGCTTTAAATTCTGGTAACGCTTTAGGACTGTGAAGGTGGAGTCTCCCACTTCCACACTGTAGAACTGGTTGTCCACTTTGCTTTTGCTCATGTTGTAATGTTTGGCAATATATGACACATCCACTTGTTTGCCAAAACCCTGTGTGAGTCAAATACAGCACAGTAGTGACGTTAGTCTTGCTGAAAGAGACAGGCATGGTGTACATTTACAGCAGAAAACCCCAACTAATATGTCCAATGCAATTTAGCATAATCACAAAATAAAGGGAAATATAGAATATATATGTGTATATTTTTTACTATTTAACAATCAACATTTAAATTGTTTCAACACCTGATTACTTTTTCGAATTCTACTTCATACCATGTATTTCTGTTTATAGGCACACCAGTCATTTAATTTGATAAAATAAATGTCTGGTGTTGGACGCTGGAGCTCCTGTCAGAGAGAGAACTTTTTAATAGTCTCTTTTTTTAATCGTACTTTTTTAAGTACTTTAGATGTTTTATGGTTTTCTTAGATATGGTACATTTTAAATCCCCTGAGCAGTTCAGAGGGATTCAACTCTAGGATTTGACTCAAGTCTTTTTATTACTCAATTTTCTGTTATACTGCAGAGGTTTATTATTCTGTCGAAAGGTTCATTGTCAGTTTAACTTCCGCTTTTTCATAGGCAACAGCACTTTGTCATCATGTGGTGCTTCATATCGTTAAAAAGAGGAAAAACTTAAAAATTGTTACTCTTAAAAAGGCTCAGCTTCATCTGAGGATGTTGTTCCAAAATGGTCTGGGCTTTACTGTATGTTTTAGTTCCTAAGAAGGTACAAGTTACATTACTTCACTCTTATTTATGTTCATAAACTATAACATAATCCACATTTACAAGATGTATTTCTGTTCTGTTGTCACAACACTTTAACACCGATCGTTACAAAATTCACTCTCATAGGAGCTCTTTTCACTAGCAAGATCAACAAATCCTTAAACAGAGGATCGTTTACAATGTTGTTGCAAACTATTCCTCTACCGTAGGAATTGTGTGCAAGGGTTTAAAGGTACACTTTGTGCAAAATATATTGTCGCCTTACAGAAACGTAAATCCTGTTTTCTACCTGAAAATATAGGCAGCAGAATAAATACTGACCATGTCATTACATCGGGACCATTAATTGCTTCCCTCAGATGAAGACATTATTACATCATTGTGTACAGAATATTTAAGCTGTAATTATGGGCAAGGAAATAGTGGCACAACAAAATAATAATTACGTTTATTACAGACTATAATTACTCCACGGCTTACAAACCAAATGAAGCTACATTGTTGGGTATGACTGTGTAAGTTCAGCCTTAAAGTTATACAAGTCAAGAAGCAGGAAAATGTGCATAATGACATGAATACACATAACCTGTGATTTGATTAATTTTTAATGTTTGGCTTTATAGGAGTACCAACAGTGGCTGTTAAACATTAATATAAGATGCATGTGCAATCCAACATAGCATGCAAAGCTCCTGAGTAATGTGAGCTGCAGTGAAAAGGTCCAATGCAGCTCTCACACACATGCTATATGTATGGATTATGAATATTCAAAATGAGTTTGGCATTTCAGCGATAGGAGGTCAACGGGAAGCTGGCAATTAAGACCCACTTTAGCCAAATGTCTCAGATACAGATAAGCACTTGAGGTATTGAACTTCAGTAGGAAACTGGGTCTGCACTGGAAATAGTTTTGCATACTTAATTGTCACGGTGAGGTTAAAAGCTCTTCATTCGCTTTCATCTACTTTTGGAATTCCCACAGGAAATATACAGCGATTCCAGACCATTATGCAGGATTTTGTTTTTACATGAAATGAGAGGTTTTGTGAGCACCAGTCACTGTAGAACCCTATCAGAAACACAGCAAACACAGCAAAAACACACATAGGAAATACGGGGAAATGGAAGGGATTGAATACTGTACCTTTTTTACCTGTAAGGAACACACACCTGACAAAAGGCTATCTTTACATCCAGGACTGGTTGGCTGCAGTTATATAAGAAATGTCTGCTCATAAATACCTGGAAGACACAAACAAGGGAGAAGGGGAGTCAGAGAGTAATTGCAGGGGCCCCGAGAGGCAGGAAAGTGCAAATACTTTTTTTCTGAAATTATTCACATGAATGATGGCCTCAAAATATGATCTGCACCTTTATGGAAAAAAGAAAAATTGCTGCACCTTCATCTGGATCAGCTTTATCTTAATATGCAAAAGAGCAGCTTAACTTATGATGGAGCGTCTGAGAAACTAGTTCTGTGGAAATTTGTCTTTGCAGTCTCTCTCTCTTTGCTGTGGAACTGAATCCTCCAGGAACATTCTCTCTCCCTCCTCTCCCTCCTGTCCCCATTTTTCTCAATAAAAATGAGAAAAACAGAAAGTCACTGCCACCCTCACCTCTATAAATATAATCTGACCAATACATCAATTCCTCATCAGAGAACAGCACAGCAGGACGACAGAGATCAATGTCTATCAGCCTGCAGATGGAGATATGAGCAAACCTGGGACTATAAGAAACAAATATGGTTTATTAATGATTTGAGATGATTTGAGATGATTAAATAAGAATATCTTTATATCATTACTTCTCAGTTTTTCTGCTTACTTTCATATCTATTCTAAGCCTTTTGAAAAAAAAGTTTTGGGCTTGCAGTGCTTTCAGAACCAAAGCATGTTTTTAGTCATTGCACAATGTATTTTGGAACGAGAATGAGGTACAAACCTAACTAAAGCAGACACATTTAAAGCAAAAATCTAACTTTAGAGTCCTTTTTACAACATATTTGTAAAATCTATGTTCTACATATTTAATCTAGCAACAACTATATTTTTACAAGTAAACCATTTAATGTATTAAATGATGCAACAATGATTTTTATTTTTAAAATACTTGTACCATTACCTTTAATTGCACTACATTAGTTTGGCTTTGGTAGAAAATGAAACGAAAAATCTCTTGCCAAGATTTGCTAACCTGAACAAGTTGAATGCACTGTGAGATTTTTTTTATTATTGTTGTTCCAGCTGAGGTATGATTTTTATTGTGTGAAAAAAAAAATCACAATCCTGGTAGTTTCAAAACAGAATGCCCTGGCATATTGTGGAAGAAGAAGAAAACATAAAGCAATTTTGGCAAAATAATGCCATAACTACGGCTATGTTTTATTTTATCAAAATAAAACTTAGCTGTCAAAATAATGTCCCAACACAAAATACTTTGCATTTCTATAACCCTTCAAAAAAAAACTTCTGCGCATCATTCAGAGGCCTTTGAGGGTAGATAAGAACGATCTTGTGCCTCCTAAATGTGATCCCTAATCACCAGCTGTACACTTCTGTCAAGAAAATCGCCAAAAAGAAACCTTGAGTGTATGGAGAGTCCTTTCATTCAGCTTTAAAACAGTAAAGCCACCTAGGTCTGCCAAAAGCCCTGCAGCCATTTGATGCTTTAACATCATCCACGGCCTTTACAAACCCAGGATATCTAAACAAGAATATCTGTAATATTTCGGCTTCAACAAACATTTATGCTTGTCACTTAATTCATGTATACATTTGTATTTACTTGTCAAATTCATGAAACAGAAAGCAAACAAAAATGGCAACAAATATCCTGTTTAATATAAATATATGTTGACCTTTTGGTGTGACACTAAGAGACTTTAAGGGGACGATTTGTGTTGACAGAGACCAACAATTGTCATTATTTGTAACAGTATTATATTAGCGTCACTACCAAGCACAAAAGCTTCACATCATCAGAGACAGCGCTGACATTGTGATGATACACAAACGTCAGAGAGTTTTACAGTGAAAGAAAGAAAAATTAGTCAATTTGGCTGACACGCAGCTTTTGCCATTTTTCTGCTTTTTCATGCAAAGAAAACAAGATACAAAAAGTGCATACATTACACTTTTTGTAATGTATGAACTTTTCATAGAAGAATAAAAGTCTGTCCAGAGGGTAAGCAATGAGATCATTGAAATGAAAAAGTTTGAATATTTTCCCAGACCTTTATGTATATATATATATTTATTTTATTTATTTATTTTTTTTTTACTTTCAAATGATGTACTTTCTGAAACTTTCTGTATCACCTCGCTCCACCAGCTCTGTATTAGAGTCACAGCTCATGCTTTGATGTCTGTACTCAAAATGGAACAGCGCAGCTGTAAAAGAAGAAATGTGGGCCACAGAGGTTGGAGATTTATGTTGTGGCTTAATTTTCTGACCTTTAAAAAAGTGGCCCATTTCTTTTATCCAGGTCTCACAAGAGGTAAAAATGTAGTGTACTATGACACAGAAAAGAACAAAGGGAGGGCAAAAAGGAGTAAATAAAACATGCAGGTCAAAGGATGAGGCTTTAAGGACGCTTAGTCAATAAATCATTCATAATCTATCACTTGTTTATAATGATTTTACAGACCTTTTGTATGTTTGACAAAGTCTCCTTGTCACCATAAAGACTGCTAGTGTATCTGCTGATAGTCTGACTGATCGATACTAAATCAGTTTTAGTAGCAAGACAAGGGAACAATCTTTGACCATCTGTGTGCACAGAAAAGTTTTCCACTGCAACAGTTCAAACAGAAATATATTATTGTGTTGTGTGATTACAAGACAAATTTGGTATAATGCTTATCATGAGCTTCTGTGTTTTACATTTAATTAAATCCCCCCAAAAATTTAATGGCTGATGGCTGCATGAATGTACTAAATTGTCCTTTTCAGTGTTCAGCATATTCCAAGGGAAATTTACAATGATTAGCACTAATGGTAAAAAAATTAATAAAAATAAAAGCAATTATTAAGGAAAATCTCTGAAGCTTCTTGCTTGGAAACTGCACAAAATAGAAGGCATTTTCAATTCTCCATAACAAACATTTAGTGTATCTTTTATCTATTCCTTGTCCTTATAATTGTCATTGATTGTAGGAGCTTGCAAGGACAATGTATGGTAAATATGCGCTTTCATTAAAATAAATTAAAGACTGTCAATATCATTTAAAAACTGTGAATGAGTAAGGACAACTGACATCTAACCTTGCTGTTTTCATTTTTTACAGAAATCACACAACTTAACATTAGAAGAAAGAAAGTGGCTTCCTGCTATGTCAAATAGGGCTAACAAATCTGAGCAATTATCAAGAGAAATTAATCACTGAAAAGGCAAAACGAAAAGCTATGTCAAATCTTTCCTCCATAAAACCGGACCTCCAGTGGACTCACTGAGCAAAATGAAAACAGCAGATTCTGAGCTTGCTAATTCATTGCTGTCATTCTGCTGATGGAGGTTATGGGTAAAGTGCTGCTGCTGAGATTAAAACACCTTCTTCAAAACACCGATTTATCATTCCAACTACATACAGCTAACCAGAGAAGCTGAGTGAGAGATAAGATCAAAAGTGCTTAGGGTTGTTTTTTTAAAGCTCAGTTTAATACATGGCAACATTATGTTGCATACATCTTATATTTGCATATTTTTGCAAAGTAAGTTGCCTCTCATTATTAAACAAACATTTAAAAAAAATCAATGGAGAGTAATTATGGCTGTTTGATATTTTAAAAGTGTGCGTACCTTGAACCTTTCCCAGTTTTGTCATGTTACAACCACAAACTTTGATTTATTTTAGTTTGCACTTGATGTAACAGACCAACACAAATCCACAGGTAACAATAATTCTTATTATTTTAAAATTAAAATTTGAAAAGTGTGACAGGCATCTCTATGGCTCTCTTCACTGTGATGCTTATCAATACAATACAACCCAACAAGTAAGAGCCCAGCTCTATCCGTGTAATTTCATCTCATTATAAATTCAGGTGTTCTGCGAATGCCAGAAACCAAGATAATCTTAGTCCAAGGAGAACAGCAGACAGCTCAAGGAAAAGATTGTGGAGAATGATCTGAACATCTCGGAAGAACCATTCAATTACCTTAAAATGAAAGGAGTATGGTACAACTGCAGAATTACCAAGGCATGGTTACCCAACCAAACTGACTGGAAGGACATTAATCAGATAAACATTATTTCAAGCCAACAGGCTTGAAATAATTCTGTTTATGCTCTAGAGATCTACAGCTGATGTTAAAGAACCTGTCAAAAGGAAGAAGAAGGTGCTTTCTTTAAGTATCACTACAAACAGCATCATTCTGTGATATTGTCTCTTCAACATGTGCACCAAAAAAAGAAAATAAGTAATTTAACTTAAATAAATTGCTTTAATTGGTCACAAGCAATTGGATTAAGTTAATCAAAGCTAATTTATTAAGTTTACTAAGTTGTCAAGTTAAATAAATGTAAAATAATTATGCTGGAGAAAAGAGATTTATTTAAGTTGGAAGTGCATTCTCTTTTTTTCTGTGCATAGAGTAGTTGGTTACTATATTGTGCTAGAAAACCTACTGGAATGACACAGTCAAACTTTAAAAATAATTGGGAATGTTGCAAGATTTGGAAAAAAAAAAGATCCTTACAACATAACAAAGCTTGAGAAAATTGTCTATGAAGTATCCACACTTTTCAGATTTTTCTTTAAAAAATAAAAAAAAAAACATTGAAACTGTTTATTCCTGTTCTTGATTATGCTCTACTATGTATTGCATTAAAACTATAGACAAAAATGCATTGACGCTTTTAGTTGTGACATGACAAAATGCTGAAAGACTTAATAACTCTGAATACATTGGCGTCCTCCTATAATCATATCTTAGCAAAGAAGCATTTACAGATTTTAGTCAATGTGTTACTAAAATTAGTTACTCCTTGAACCAGTTTGTTACAGATTACTGAGAATGGAGGATTCTCATGAAATCTAAACATAAATCTCAGAATTTTTAACATAAATTTAGTAATTATGTATGTTTGTAATATTTGCAAACTTTAAAAAAAAAAATCAGCACATCAGCGACAACAACAACAAAAAAAAATTTCTTGAGTTGTAGGGACATTGATAGTAACTGATAGTTTTACTTCCGCTTTCGGCCAAGATAAGCAAAATAAAAACCTGTTTATCCC